CCTTCCTTGAATCCTTGTTTGTAGACCTCTCAAGCCTTGAGAGTCTGATCATTTTCTAATTAGATCCACCTTTGCCAGCAAGCTTCTTAACAAAGAATCCCTTCCTTTAGATCTTGCACGATTTTCTCCTGGCCATTACCATGGCTTCCCGTCGACTTCTTCCAACGTACAGCAACTATCACAAAACACCACCGCCTTTCAAAATCATAACTTTAGACTCCAACGTTATCTCCACCTTAATCTAAAATCCCTTGAAACAAATGCTGTAGAAACTTCCTGTTTCGATAGATTAATTTTGAATTCACTTCATACCGCCATTACGAATAATGTATGCCGCCGTTTAACTTTCAACCTATTTAAGAAGACTCTCGATATGAAATTTGCTGAATTCTCCTTGAGATGAGTTTTATTGCATCAACATCATGTACTTTCTTAAGACAAAGACACGTTACCCTTTGATCTTCCATCTCAACTTTTTGCTGTCTTGACTCCATAATCTAACTAATTTGTTTAACCTTTTGCAACAGGTAAACAAACAAAAGATTTAAACAAGAAGAAAATCACCTTGGAGCTGAATGATTTGTGCTCTCCTTGAAGAACATATATCTCCTTTTATCTTTCTTCTCTGCGATTTTGTTTAGTCTTCGTGATCTCTTTTACACCCGCAATTAAAACTTGGATTGCAGTGATACCGCTTTTCAGGAATTCTAGATCATTAGATTGCTTAATTCTACAACACAGAGAATTTGATCACCGAGTTCTTAGTCTTGAACCAGTACGTCTCGGGTGGGAACCGTCTCCCACAACTTCTACTATCAATCAAAGATTTTACACAAACGCTCTAAGCGCTCAAAAGGAAGGCACAACATAGATTAAGAAAGATCAAAGAAACTTTATCCCTTAGAGACATGACTCGAACAATGACTCTCACCTTGAGTTTCTTCTCTAACCCGATCTCTCTTCTAGGTCTATCTCTCTTTTTGTCTATTGTTTCGGATGCTTTAATTCATCAGCCACTCTCTCTATTCATACTTGAGACGACGACCATCCTAGTCCCATTAGTCTTTTGTATAATTTTCTTTTTCCATCCAACATTAACCGGCTTGTAGGTAGGAAGGAAACATACCACCGACTAATCAATTCTCTGGAAAAATTGGGTTTGGGTCAAGTAGGAAATTTAGGTCCACCAACACCACATAAAACACACAAAAAAAAATAGTATATCCTTAACAAAATTACTAGTTTAAAATCTTTTAATTTTGTCAAAAAAGTCTTTTAATTTTAATTTTAATAAACACGGTTAATTTTGTTTTCTTACAATTATTTTTGAAGAGAAATTTCTTTGGATAGCATTTTTAATTTATTTTTGTAAAAACAGCAATCAAGTAGAAAAATGACCAAAATAAATTTTATTAAAGGATAAATATACATTTATACTCTAGGGTTAAATAATCTTAATTTAGGATTTAGAGTAAAGAGATGGGGTTTTGGAGATACGGTTTCAAATTTTAAAAAATATAAAAAATAAGATTACAATTTTCAAAACAAAAAAAAAAGAACTATTTTGGTCATTTTATTTTTTAAATATTTTTGTGTCAAGAACTTAAAAATGCTATTTGAGAGATTTACTTTTTTTAAAAAAAATCGTATACTTTAGTATACTTTAGAAGAAAATATGTTAACAAAAAACTAATATTTTCTCAAAGAATAATTTCTTCATCATTTTTATTTCCTTGCAATGAAATGAGATTAATCTAAAATACTAGGAGTTGAAAATGATATACGAGTAATTGAAAACAAATCTTTGGAGGTTTTCTCAGTTGAATACAAAATCGAACGAGTTCAGCGACATCTTTCTCAGAATGGCTTCAAATTTATCAAAATACATTTCAGTTTCAAAGAATTAGACATAAAAGCCATCGGATGCGACATACAAAACAAATTGGAAAACAACAAAAAGTTAGATCTCAATAATTATGTTTTAGCAAAAGTTTGAGTTGATTCATATATCAAAGGACGAAGAAGCTAAAACTGAGAAATGATTTACTGTTTGATACGAGGCTGAATAGAACCATATACAAATAGAAATAATTTGACATAAGTTATAACAATTACGCATAGAACCCAAGAAAACACACATGCATTGAGTCTAAAATTCATTTATATATATAGAACACATATTGTTTGAGCAGAAAAACATCTTTGAGATCACTTCAATCTGATTCATTGTCCGAGTTATCATCACTACACTAATCCTCAGTTTTATTAATCCATCTTCATTTACATCATCCGGTATATCATCATGAAAATCTTTACATTTATGGTTATGCAGATCAATAAAAAATACCATTGGTTGGTTATTTCATGTACCTTGAATTTATTCACAGACAAATTTGTTAGAAATATGGTTTTTCTCCACATGCTATTCAGTCCTGAGGTATATTTTAATAGCCAATAACCAAACTATTCCATAATCTTTGATTGATATGGTATGTAATGAAGATGGTTTGATCCAAAGATTACCAAGTTTGTTCAGGTATGCTTGTTTGTCCATACGCATATATACTTTTCTAACATAAGACTAAATTTGCAGTAACTTGAGGTTTCATTAACCAATGATCTTATCTTCAAATTTCAGGCATGTGTCAATAAAATCAAGAAGAGCTAATTTATATTGAACTTTTTTGTTTCTCAAAAAGAATACCACCTTAAGTAGTTAGAGCTACTGAGAAATATTTAAACACTTCTGTATCTGTATCTTTGAGGTAAGGTAAGCATATGTTTGCTTCTTGTTTTCAGTTGTAAAGATATATATACATGAGATTTTGTATGCAAAAATATTTTTTGCTGGATTTAATTAATTAACTTCAAATTGTAATATAGATTTCCAAATCTATTAATATACAACAACCAATAACCCTCTCTTAATCCAAAGTTGGGTTTATTGGTACTGTCTTGTCAGATTCAGGTTCGGCTCAAGTAATAACTGAACCATGTGTGGATTTTATAAATATCACTCATACAATCTGTAAACTAGGATTCTAACTACTTGTATTATACATATGATTTAATGAGTTAAGACCTTTATTTCTTTTAGAAAAACTGAAAAAATGGATCTAGTACAATTGTATAAATGCACTTTCAACACTAGGTCAAAACAGGCACTGGTCAGATAGTAGAAAGGTAAAGATCAAGTTTCATGATCTCTGTTTTTTTTGTAACGCTTATGTTTCATTTACCAGATTCTAATTACTTGTATTATACATATGACTAGATGATAACCCGCGCGCATGCGCGGGGTGAAATTTTTAGATTAATATTTATTTATTGAATGGTTTTTAACATTTTGCAATACTACAGTATTTATCGATTATAAAATGATAAATACAAATGTTGGTATCTTAAATCTTCATAGGTCTGGACGTTTGAGATTTCGTTGGTTTTAGTTTGATTGACACGTATGTTCAGATTTTGGTATTATTCTCATAACTCATATTTGAATTTTACTAATTATCGGATTGGATACGATTTGATCTTCTCAATTTAGTTTGGATTGGATTGTAACCAATATCTGAAATCATCCCAAAAAATATTTGTTAAACATTAAAAGTTGACAAAAAATCAAAATATTTAAACTATTAATAAATCTAACTTAAAATTATTAAAATTATCTAAAGAAACTAAAAGATATTAAAAAAGAAGCAAATAAAACAAACTGCAAAAATCTTTCGAATACTATAATTTGTATCTACTAACCTCAAACCTTTTCACTGAAATTTTTAAATTAACATATTTATAGTATGAATATCTACTAATGATACTTCATATTCGTATGATTTATGATAATTTGTATCTTCTTTGGAAAAAAACAAATTTAAACCATTGATCATAAAATTTTCAATGTGGGATTTTACTATTTCTAGTTATTTATGGTCACTTTAAAAAATTAAAAATATAACCTATAAGAAAAAATTTAATTTTTTTATTATATATTTAAATGTGATTGTTTAATTTATTTTAATAATTTAAAATTAAACAAAAAAGAGAAAGGATACAAAAATATGTATTATTCATAATCATTAATTACATATATATGTTAATCATATTAGGTAATTCCGTAGCTTTTATTTAAGGAAATAAAATATATAGTTTTATACCTAGCAGAGTTGGTCCCTTAAAAATGTCTATATATTATAGTTCTAAATGCAAGAAATTAAATGTTACATTATTTCATTCCTAGCAAAGTTGGTCCATTAAAAAAATTAAAGCTGAGAAGCTCTGTGAGCTTGACACGTAAGCATGCTCTCCAAGGTTGTGCATTTATGAATGCTTCATGATTAATATATAAGGGATTTAATAAGTTTAGACCTTTATTTCTTTAAAAAAACTGGAAAAAAATGGATCTAGTACAATTGTATAAATGAACTTTCAACACTAGGTCAAAACAGGCACTGGTCATATTATAGAAAGGTAAAGATCAAGTTTCATGATCTCTGTTTTTTTGTAACGCTTATGTTTCATTTACCAGCTTCAGTCTGAACTACTTGCTAGACCTAATGCAATTTTCTTATATCATCTGTAACTAAAACAAAACTGTGAGTTTTATTGCCAAAGGTGACAAAACTTATGAACATGTGTCCCCATCATTAAATACATTAGATGAGCAAATAAAGTAATTGCATTTAGCAAGAAAAAAAAGTAATTGCATTTAATCTATATCACCTAACTTCTTGTTGTCCCTGTATAGTACTAAAAGAAAATAGTACATTCATCACATATGATTAGTGATTCGAATTATCCGATTAACCATAAACAATGCTTTGATTGCAACAACATAGACAATGATCCAAGACCAGAACATTCGTAAAAGACAATTTTCCACATTTTTCTTCATTGAAATTTACCAAATTACCCTCTATGCTATTTACAAATCGCGACGCATCGAACTTTGATATATACATTTAATTACAGAGCAGACATCGGAACCAGACAGTGTCCCTCTTTCCTCGCCGATCGCTCTCTTTTCCTCATCTCCGATCTCAATCAAAAAACGCGTCTCTGATCTCTCTTACACAATTCTAAAGAACCATCAAAGTCTCTGTTCTTACCGTGCTCAAATTCGCAATCCTTCACCAACTTTTTTTCACGGTATCGCTTCTTCTCTTTCGATTCGGTTGGATTTGATCGATACCCATCTCGTGATTCAATCTGATCAGTTCTGGGTTTCCGTCAAAATGTTGAATTTCCCTGGAAAATTACATCAACTCTAGAAGATTGGATCATGATCTCTCTGTTCTTGCAGTTATTAGAAAGCTTCTTCTTTTGCATGATGGGTTTAAATAGAAAGTTGAGGAGCTAAAATAGATACAAGGATCAATGAATCATTGAGGAACAATGAGTAGTTTCACAAAGAGCACATCATTCAATAGAAGAGCATTGAGTTCTTTAGCTGTAGAAAGCCCTAGGAGCACCTCTTCAACCGCCTTCAATAGTCCCATTGGCTCAGCTTTTGCAAGCCCGAGAACATTCGGAGGGAGTCCACGCCCTTATACAAACCGTTTAAAAGAGATCTCATACTTGTTTCAAGTCCTCATCGTCGCAGGAACGCTTGTCTCGTTTCTTGTCATCATCGCTGGTGGTTATCTCTACGTTGTTCCTAGCCTCGGTTACAATGGTGCATTGCAATTTAACAACAGTTCTGTTACAACGGATGTTAAAGAATGTGACATATTTGATGGGAGTTGGGTGGTTGATGATAAGTACCCTTTGTATAACGCGTCTGAATGTCCGTTTGTAGAGAAAGGGTTTAACTGTTTAGGCAACGGGCGTGAGCACGATGAGTATTTGAAGTGGAGGTGGAAGCCTAAGGATTGTGATGTCCCGAGGTTTCATGTGGGTGATGTGTTGGAGAGGTTGAGAGGTAAAAGGGTAGTTTTTGTGGGAGATTCGATGAGTAGAACGCAGTGGGAGTCTTTGATATGTATGTTGATGACGGGTTTGGATGATAAGAGGAGTGTTTATGAAGTCAATGGGAACAATATAACGAAAAGGATACGGTTCTTGGGTGTGAAGTTTAGCTCTTTTAACTTTACAGTTGAGTTCTACAGATCGGTTTTCTTGGTTCAGCCTGGGAAGTTGTTGCGTTGGCACGCGCCGAAACGTGTTAAGTCTACGTTGAAGTTGGATGTTTTGGATGTGATTAACCATGAGTGGAGCTCTGCTGATTACCTTGTCTTCAATACTGGTCAATGGTGGGTGCCTGGGAAGCTTTTCGAAACGTAAGGTTTTAGTTGAAACACTTTACAATGTTGTTTGTCATTACCTTTCTTATGTTTCTAATTGTGTGTATTTTGGAACATTAGTGGTTGTTACTTTCAGGTTGGGAACTCATTGAGGCTGGGATTGTCGATTCCTGCAGCTTATAGAGTAGCGTTAGAGACATGGGCATCATGGATAGAGAATAAGATTGATCCAAACAAAACTCGTGTCTTGTTTCGTACATTTGAGCCATCTCACTGGAGGTAGCTTTTACCAGTTCCTGTTCTGTTTTTTTTCTATAGATTGTCTTTAGTTTAAGTTTCTTTGTTGTTGATGATGTTTTGTAGTGACCATAGATCATGCAATGTGACAAAGTATCCAACCCCGGATACTCAAGGAAGAGATAAAAGCATATTTACTGAAATGATCAAAGAAGTAGTCAAGAACATGACGGTTCCGGTATCTGTTTTGGATGTAACTTCAATGTCGGCGTTTAGAAGTGATGGTCATGTGGGTTTATGGAGTGATAACCCGTTGGTGCCTGATTGTAGTCATTGGTGTCTACCTGGAGTTCCTGATATCTGGAATGAAATCTTGCTTTTCTTCCTCTTTAGACAACAAGTAACTTTCTTTCTCTTTGCTTTGCTTCTCAAACACAGCAGTTTCTTTATGTCTGAATGTTTTTTTTTGCTTGATTTGCAGGTTCAGTGATATGGATTAACTGCAGGTTTTTGCAACATAACACGATAGATAAAAAAAATGATTAACGACCCTTGAAGATCATATCTCGTGGAGCTAGCTGCTCCTTTTTCTTCTGGGACATAAAGGCATTGAGGGTCACAAAGTGACTCTTAAATTCATTCTTTAATTGTTTCTTCTACGTTCTTCTTTATTGTAGTATCGATTCAAAGAGAGTGAGATGATCTTGTGGTATAAAATGATTTCACTACTATCTGTGACTGGATAAAAGCAATTTTCTTGCTGATCAAAGAGAACTTTTCAACCTTATTCCATGTTCCACTTCAAACTCTTATTTCAAAATATTGTTTTTTTCCATTTCCGTTCCATTTTAAAAGGTTGACTGGAAAGTGTTTTAGATGTACCAGGGTCCGTTTTAGTTCTTGGGTTCCTGAATTTTATTGGGTTCCTGAATTTTAACCCCATTCAAATATATAAGAAATTTGGGTAGGATTTGGTTGGGTTAAGTTACATGTCCAACATCTATTTAAATCAAAATAGTTTCGGTTTTAGATATTAATTAGGTTATCGATTTTAAAATATTAATTTCTATTAGATATAATTCAATGTATTTCTAATCTTTTCAATAATTTTGTGTATGTGTCTTATTTAAATTATATTGTTGTTTTTCAAAATAATTTTGAAAGATTTGTCTATCAAATATATGATATTCATACTTGAACAATACTTGACAACATAATACATATCTTGATTTAAAAGCTTTGTGCAATCGAGAACTGAAACGTACATAAATTAAAAATAATAACTATCAATTCTGTAAACGTATAAAATATTATTTAAACTTTTTAAGAACAAACACTGTTTAAATTTTAGAAGCAAACTTATTTATAAATGAACTTCAAATGCAATTGTCAAAATATAAAAAAAAAATTATTATTTTGACCAAATACAAACATATAATTAGACTAAGTATTTGAGTTAATTATTCATGCAATTGATAATTATTTTAGGTAACATTAATATATTAGTATAATTTGGATACATATTAGGGATTAGTTTAGCACAAGTTTTTTTGGGATTTTGAACCTTTTTTCTTATATACATACGGTTTCAGAGTTGGTTCAGATCCCATAACCCAAAATACAATAGAACAAGATCCCACAACAAGAAAACGATTTTATAACTAGGAATATTAACAAGGAAAATGTTTCCTTGTAACATTACGGTGACATTACGAGGAAACTAAGGTTCCACGTACTTTCCTCGTAAAGTGTTGAGAAAAGTGTTTCCTCGTAAAGTGTTAGTAAATTTACGAGGAAACTACGTAGTTTATCTGGTTTCCTCGTAAAGTCTTCGTAAGCTGGACTAGGATTTTACGAGGAAATATCAAACTGCGATTTTACGAGGAAATTACGAGGCTTTGTCTATTTTAAATTTAAAAACGTGTATTCTAACAACTTTTCTTCGTAAATTCCTAGTAAATGTTTACATACCAAAAAAAAAATTTCTATAAATACAACCATTTGTGATTCATTTCAAACACACCAAAACAAAATAAACTATAAGCTTGAAAGGAAAAAAATGTATGGTCCTGGAAATATTTTCGAGTTACGAAGGTGGATGTATACACACATAGATAATAAGAGGAGAGTGACGAAAGAATTTCTCGAAGGGTTGGAGACATTTATGCATCAAACAGATTCTACACCGCTCACGCAGGAAAGCGGTAAGATGTTTTTTCCTTGTCGGAAATACAACAATACAAAATTAGGCCCTCGTGAAAATGTTTGGAAGCATTTAATAAATAGAAGTTTCATGCCACAATACTATATTTGGTATCAACATGGAGAAGATTATAGTTTTAGAAATGAAGCTAGCAATAGTAATAGCAATTTTCAGGATGAACTGGTCGTTGATCATTTGCATAACGAAAATAGTTATCACCAAAAGGAACAAATGGTAGATTGTGATAGGGTTCATGATATGGTAGGTTGTAACTCATGATGATGAAGTTGAAGAACCTAACTTAGATGCAAAAAAGTTTATGAAATGTTAGAAGCTGTGAACGAGCCAATTTACAATGGTTGTAGAGAAGGTCTCTCTAAATCGTCGTTGGCTGCTAGAATGATGAGTCTTAAAACCGATCACAATCTACCTGAAAATTGCATGGATGCATGGGCAGACTTGTTTAAAGAGTATTTGCTAGAAGACAATGTGTCTTCTGAATCTTATATGAGATTCAGAAATTGGTTTATAGTCTTGGGCTGCCCTCAGAGATGATAGACGTTTGCATCGACAACTGCATGATTTACTGGGGAGATGATGAGCAGCTAGAAGAATGTCGGTTCTGTAAGAATCCATGATTCAAACCGCAAGGACGAGGACGGGATAAGATACCGTACCAAAGGATGTGGTACCTACCAATCACTGACAGATTGAAAAGATTGTACCAATCTGAGGAGACTGCTGGAGGGATGAGATGGCACGCCGAGCATACTCAGACGGATGGGGAGATGACTCATCCATCAGATGCAAGAGCTTGGAAACATTTTAACAATGTACATCCACATTTCACTCGCAATAGCCGGAATGTGTATCTTGGATTATGCACTGATGGATTTAGTCCATTTAGAGTGTATGGGAGACAATATTCATTGTGGCCAGTCTTTCTGGCGCCGTACAACCTGCCACTAAAGATGTGCATGCGACTAGAGTTTCTATTCTTGACCATATTAATACCTGGTCCAAAGCATCCAAAAGATCTCTTGATGTTTTTCTACAACCACTGATAAAAGAGTTGAAATATTTGTGGTCAACAGGGGTAAGGACATATGATTGTTCAACGAAAACGAATTTTACGATGCGAGCGATGCTTTTGTGGACCATAAGTGACTTTCTTGCATTTAGGATGTTGTCTGGATGGACTACACATGGGAGATTAGCTTGTTTGTATTGTAATGAAAAGACAGATGCGTTTCAGTTGAAGAATGGTAGGAAGACAACTTGGTTCGATTGTCACCATCAATTTCTTCCACTTTACCACCCATACCGAAGAAACAAGACATTGTTCAGACACAAAAGGGTGGTTAGAGACACTCCTCCTCCATATTTAACTGGAGAACAAATTGAAGCGCAAATGAATTACTATTTTGCACTAGAAACAGCTCCTCGTGGTGGTAATTGGCATGTTCCCAGTAATATGCCAGATTCTTATGGTGTTCAGCACAATTGGTACAAGAAGAGTATATTTTGGGAGTTGCCATATTGGAAAGATCTTATTTTGCGGCACAACCTCGATGTGATGCATATATAGAAGAACCTTTTTTAGAATATCGTGAACACTATATTGAATGTCCCAGAGAAGACGAAAGACAACATAAAATCGAGGTTGGACTTACCCGATATCTGCTCAAGAAGTGAGTTACATATAAAAAGCAATGGGCAAGTTCCAGTTTCGATATTTAGACTGTCATCAGAAAAAAAGTCAGTGTTGTTCAAGTGGGTGGCTTCAAAAGTGAAGTTTTCTGATGGGTATGTTTCAAATCTCTCAAGATGTTTTGAGAAAGGTCAAAAGTTCTCCGGTATGAAAAGCCATGATTTTCATGTCTGAAGCGTGAGTTTAGCAGAAGGTGGAGGCACGATTGCTCGACATGGTCTCCAATTGGAAGGACGATTATGAGGTGGATGGTTATGAGAAGGGGAAACCCTCCTGCCTCACATATTTGGTGTGGGATGGCCAGAGTCAATCAAAACCTCCAACAACTGCTCCGCTAACCGTTTGATCAAAGATGAGTATGGCAACACGAAGATGCTCCACAGTTCATGTCAAAAACCTCACGACAGAGTTCGTCTAGATATGGTAAATTTTTTAATAACTAATTTTTTAATATATATATATATATATATAATTTATTTTTAAAAATATTTTTAGGCTAAAGAGACAGGAAATCTTCCATCTCTCAAGGAGCTTTACGAGAGGACCCACGAGAACAAGGCTGGGCAATTTGTAGATCCTCGGTCTGAGGGAATCTACAACAAGGTTATTTCTCGGGTTGAGGAGCGCCAAACCCAGCTGAGTCAGCTGGCTCCCGATGGGATACCCGTCATATTATCCACACCTGACATGGATCGGATTTTCGAGGAGGTAAATTTGTTTTCTTATTATTATTATTATTAATTTAATTTATGTTTTTTCCATTAACTAACATTAATCTTTTATTTACAGGTCGTTCTTAAGAAAAAGGACGTATTGTGGGGATTTGTTCCATTAACGATGTCCCAAGAGTGACATCGTCTTATACTTAGAAACGGGACAATGATACTGCTCAGCTGCGTTCGGAGTTGCACGCGACGTGTTCTGATTTGAGCACGACGCAAGCTCAAATAGGTTCGCTCGAAGGTTTTCTGGACATTTTGGCGGCTGAAAATCCGCAATTGGAGATGATGTTACGTGCCAGGTGAGAACAACTACAGATTCCACACCCACCGCCACAGCCACAGCCACAGCCAACCCGCCAGGAGGAGGATGACGAGGTATAGAGGAGTGAAGACTTCGTCCGGCAGTTTCACGAGCAACACCCATAATTTTTTCTTCTTTTTATTGTATTATAAATTTCAAAGTTAAACATTTATGCATATTACTTTTCTTCTATTATTTGAATTTTAAATTTAAAATTTTTTAAAAATAATTTATTTATATATTTTGAATATTATTTATAATTTAGGAAAAATAAGGTTTCCAAGTAAATTCCTCGTAAACCTACAAGGATTTTACGAGGAAAATTTATGTGGCAGTAATGAGGAAAAGCATTACGAGGATTTTACAAGGAACGTGGCTTTACCGAGGAGATAATTACGAGGGCTTTACGAGGAAAGTCTTACGTGGCTTTAACGAGGAAAGCTTTACGAGGCTTTTACGAGGAAATATTGTAGATGACTTTACGAGGAAAATTTTCATTGTTAATTAACAAGGAAAGAATGAAGAAAGTTGAGTTACGACGAACGTGTCACGATGATTTACGTTTCCTCGTTATTTCCTCGTAAACCCCGTTTTACGAGTAAATAACTAGGAAAAGTCGTCCTAGCTTTATATGTGTTTTCTTGTAGTATCCATTCGGTATTAATCTTGGGTTCAGATCAGTTCGGATCATATTTATCAGGTCAGATTCGCTTCAGATTTTTGGATTCAGTTTATTTGCCTAGCCCTAATATGTACATTAAAGTTTTTCTATGCCATTATGATTTCTAAAGCTTTACATATGTTGTTTCCTATTTTTGGTGTAAAAATAAAAATAGCTAAAACA